TGTACGTGCAAATGAATGTATCAAAAATATTATTATTTTAGTTTGAGTGGCAATTAAATTATAGTTGGATAATTTAGCATTTAAAAAAGGGACTATATGATATTTTATCAGCTAAAAATTAGTTTCATTACATATGTACTTACGTAAAATATATATACATTTGAACATTAATAAAAACTACAAAGTAATTAGCTTCTCACAAAGAACTTTTCAACTAGCTTTATGCACATTATAGGGTTACTCTTATACAAAATTTAATGTACTTTAATAATCGGCAATTTATGAAAAATTTTGGATTCCCTTGACCCCTAGCTGATTTCCAGGAGGCCCTACGAAAAAAAGGTGTCTGACGCTGAGGAAGATTCCTCTGCTTAAAATTGTCTCAAATGCAAAAATTAAAAAAACAAAACAAAAAAAAAACGTTAAGTTCGGCTGCACCAAAGCTATAATACCCTTTATAGGTGTATTTTTATAGCATAAAAGTGTATAAAAAGATCTTTATGAAGATTTTGATCGGCCAGTTTAAATGGCAGCTATGATCTATAGTGATCCGATCTGAACAATTTGTTTGGAGATTGTACCCCCTTGGATAATGATCCATGCCAAATTTCATGAAGATATCTTGTCAAATAGAAGAATTTTCCATACAAGGACATGAGTTTGGTCGGTCACTTTTATGACAGCTATATGCTGTAGTTGTTTGATCTGAACACGTCGCGCTGATGGTTTATATTATATTTATACTATATAGGATCTCCGAGGTTTAAACTTAACATACTCTGCTGAAGATATTTATAATTATTATTACTATACATAAATACAGGTATCGATCGAGGGTCTACATACATATATCTTTTTTTGATTTTGAAATCCACTAAATTCTAAAGTAATTTAATTTTATTTTAGAATTTTAGTATGCAGTTCACAATATAATCTCTATCTCCTTATACTAGTAGTCTGAAGCTTACAAGGTGCGTTCCAAAGTAAACAGGACTTTTAAAAAAAGAGAACAAATGGTTTTATCGGCAAAATCAATTAATTTTATTCAAAATAGTCTCCTTCTGCTTTAATACAGCTTTTTGCACGGTCCAAAAGCATGTCGAACGAGTGTTTTAGCTCGTTGCCCGGTATGGCCGCCAGTATGCCGGTGCAAGCCTTTTGAATGGCCTCCACGTCTGCATAACGCTTTCCTTTCATCACCATATCAGGTGAATACGGGGAGTGGTTGATTGTTAAAATGTGTTTTTTGGTCAAATAATCGGCCACAAGCGTCGATCGATGAGACGGCGCATTATCGTGCAACAAACGCCAACTTCCATCCTCGCGATATTCGGGTGGAACACGTCGAATACAGCGCACCAAACGCTTCAAAACTCCAAGGTAGAATACCGCATTAACGCTTTGGCCGGGTGGAACAAATTCTTTATGGACAATACCCTTGGAATCATAAAAACAAATCAGCACTGTCTTCACTTTTGACTTCTCCAGGCGCGATTTTTTGGGTTTCGGCTCGTCCGGCGCCTACCATTCAGCACTCTGGCGTTTCGTTTCGGGATCATATTGAAAACACCACGTTTCGTCACCAGTCACAATCTTGTAAAGGAAGTTCGGGTCTTTTTATGCCTTTTTAATGATGTCCTTTGAATGTTGAGTTCTGAACAATTTTTGGTCGTCAGTCAATCACCGCACCGATTCGCACCGACAAAAACATACTGATACTTGAAACGCAATAACTTCACTTCCAATAGATGAAATGTCTTGCAATTTTTACTGGAAGTCGATAAAAAAGGATAGCAGATTCTAACGCACTACTTTACTTTTTTACTGTTTACTTTGGAACGCACCTTGTATTAACTCTCCTACTTTTACTTTACAGTCTTAGGAAATGAAAGTCTCAAAATAATTTTGATATTGAATTCGGTCTCCTTCGATCTTCGAGAAAATAAAACTCTCCAGGTATAAACAGTTGGTTCTGGTCATTGACTTCAAAACTTAGGGAAAAAGAAGACGGTAGGTGGCTATGAGCTCAATATGAAATTTAAAATTTTCCTTTCTTATAAATTTAATTGTTTTTCGGATTCGATCAAATCACGGCTTTAAATTCTAAAGTTCCCCTTTTTGAAGCCATTTTTCGCAATTCTTAGTATTTAGGCTTAATTTTCATATCTGAATCAAGCACACTTTTCATACTCGCGTCAATTTCACTTACTTTCATTCTTCCATCATTCACGCAAACTCATTTCAATTGCAAAGTTTCCAACCCAACTTAGCTTACATTTAGATATTCAGCTAAATCAATGAACAACAAATTCACAAACGTAAAGAAGTCGGAAGAACTGAAGCACTTTAGCGGCAGCTGCATGGACTACAAATACGTAGAGACGGTTGCTTTCATAAATCCGTTACATTTGCGGAATGTTTAAAAAAATGTTCTCTAAACAAAATGACATAATGTAGCTGGGATATCAAGTCATAAACACGAGTACCAGCCAATTCCGCATGTAGGAAATAAGCATTTGGCTTCAACCGACTCGACGCGTAACGGACGTGTCTCAGTGCCGTTTGCAGAGAAGCTACATAATGTATTTTGTGCTTTGTAAAGCTTAATTGTTTTACGCTTGGAAGCTAGCGAAGCACCGTGTTAGTGAATATTTATTTGACACTCGTGCCACACACATGGCACGCAGTTGTGTACGAGCTTCTACTTTTAGTGTTTTACTTGCCTCCACTTTGCTTAGCTTTGTCTGCCTCCACATCAGCACATGGACATCTTGTTCCACTTACCATACACACGCCACAGAATTTTACTACAATTATCGCAATACAAATCTTATTAATTGCTCTCAGCTTTTTATTTCGCTTTCGTAGATGGTCATGTGGTATTATAGAAAACATAAAAAAATTAATTAGACATTTGCCTATATTTGGTTATATGAATATATAATTGTACATTGGTGAAACACAGAAAATCACGCATATTTAGGAAAACTTTAGGTATTGAGAATTTTTATTTATTAACTTGATTAATTTTTAACATAAACGCTTCTTTGGCTCGGTTGCTGCCACAAGACTTAACTAAATTTAGTTATTTTTGAGTAGTTTGAGTAAATTATTTTCACCATCTAGACAAGTTTTGGCCCTCTGATCACACTTATCTGGACATTGGATTTCTTTTTTACTTTCAAGGCCCCCAAAACGATACAAGTTTCCTTCTAGTAAAATCTCTAACTCTATTGAATCTGGATATTTTCGTGTTTTGAAGACTCTTGTCCCATTTAATATGGTTCTCACCACTTACCGATTCAAGGTAAACCTTATAATTATAGTGAGACTATACCTACATATTATATAGTAGATTCATTTTATCGCATGCTTCCGGTGAGTTACGGAGCTCGCTATAAAAAAAAAATAAACACATCGTGACCTTTTGAATATGCTGGGGCCTTATCAAGCCATTGGTTTTCATCAATGGTGTTTTTTCCCATCAGGAAATAGTGTCTTATCAAAACTCGAAAATCATTGTTTTCCATTGTAAACAAAAGTAGTCGATGTAGGGTTACTTTGAAACCAATGTTTTGAGAAGTTTTACTAAAGGGTGTTTTTTTCGACATGTGGTTTTCAAGAAGAAATAAGTCGCATATAATTTAATGCTATGGCCAAAAATTCAGTTTTATTACAAAGATAAGGGTTTGCCTAATTCGGGCTGCGTCGAATAAATTCCAGTCGAGAGGACCAATTTACGATCGCTTTTTGCAGCGATTGGGGCCGCATGTCAGGTATAACCCGCCGAATATTCTCATCCAAGGCGTCAATCGCCTCGGGCTTATCTGCGTAAACAAGGAACTTCACATAACCAAACAAAAAATAGTCCAGCGGTGTTAAATCGCAGGATCATGGAGGTCCCACCACAGGCCCACGACGCGAGATAATGCGCTCACCAAAATTTCATTCAATAAACTGATTGTTTCGTTGGCTGTATGTCATAAGCGCAAGGTCGTCCACAACAACATCCTCCAATTCAGGCACGAGAAAGTCATGAATCATGGCTTAATACATATATGTATATAAGCACATATATCCCCATTGACTAATATTTTGGCCGGCTTCATTTTTGAAGAAACTCGAATTATTCCCTCATATTATGGTTGGTTTGTTTATTATAAAAAGCCAAACCAATCTCAGTATACAGCTGTCAAAAAGAGCAATAGCGAAAAAAGTATTGCGTCATTAAAGACCACAAGGCAATTATAGATATTTTTGTTCGTGGAGAGATCGCTCGTCAAGGCAAAAACTTTCCGGCCCATGCCATGTATTTATAATTCGCCCAAGTTTATTGTTAAATATTTGTACTGTATATGTTTAAGTACCGTTTTATTTGTTGTTACATACGAAAACTGCAGTAAAAGACAATTGCAGAATGTGAGTAATTCAAAAGCGACGGATGCTATTAATTTATAAATATTTCACTTAAGTGGTCAGCAGAGATTTCTCCATTCTAACATGTTTACATTCATTATACACACTCGAATGTTTGTATGCCCCACTTCTGGTTTGTTTGTCTTTACCATTATCTTATGATTGAAAATCATAACAATCACTTAACTTAGGCGCTTAAGTGTGCGTATCCGTGCGCAGGGGCTGGCCAATTGGAAATTAGCGGGAGCTAAACAGAAAACACAGCTGGAGCCAGGAACTGCAGCAAATTTACCATTGAATGTCGTGCGCCAAAATCTACTTCCGCGATTTTGAATGACATGCAATATCTCGGGCAATAAAGCCATATAGTTACAGTTGTAGTAGGAAACAGTGAAATGGTCTGAGCTTTTGAAAGTGTATTTCCTTAAGTCGAAGTTTGTACTCTTATTATATGAAAGTCCATATTGCAACCAATAAAATTTGTTTATATAATTTCTTAACAATTCCAAATTATTTTTAAGTAAATAAGTAAGTTATATTAAACTCTTTAATTAATCAATTAATTACTCTCTTCTCATTTACAGAAAGCGTTAAATCCATACTGGGCCGTCACACAAAAATTCTGGTCAAATATATGGTTAAATTGGAGACGAAAGGTGACAAAACCGAAAACCGTGTTTTGGTAAGTATGACCTCAATGCTAATATTCGCATTCATTAACCGTACATATTATATAATTTCGCCTACCCCCCTACTGTTGTTGTTTTCTGCTGATTCGCGTAATGTGAAAATAGAGTTGTAACGCCTAACGCGAGACCTTGCCCGCCTTGTTTATGTGTCGACGACACTCCCAGACGTCGGTATTTCATTGTAGGTGTCATATTCTCTTCACCTGTCTTGCAGTTGAATGTACACATATGCGTATATAACTGTATGCATAACAGACATGCATGTTTTAAAATTACACTCATTACCCTGTAGGGAAAACCATAATACTAAACAACAACCTTTTCATATAAGTCTTGAACTATGATTTTTCAGTTCAATTATTGTAAGTCATTTTGTAGGTGTGCTGATTTTAAAGAAAAAATCAGTTGGGTAAAAAGAAAGTAAAGTATATTTTGAAGGCAATAAAAATACCCTAATTACAAAATTATTTGCCATTATTGAATATAATCAAAAAGTTTGTTACTTTATATTTAATATTCTTGATTACTTTTATCATAATTTTCCTTTGATTAATAACAATAAATTGAATTACGTATAATGTTGACCTTGTTAGGTTTCTCAATAGATTAACTCAGTTCGTATGATGTCTTCTTCATAAATATTTAATTAATATACAATAACAAAAATAAATTAGGTAGGTAGAAGAAAAATATGTCCCAAGTCAAAAAAATTAAAACATGTTTGAGTGTTTCAAGAATGAAGACAATGCCAATATAATTTTTCATTACCAAGAAAGTCATCCAAAGAGAGTGACAGAAAGAGTTATATTTTAAATGGTCAAACAGTTTTTAGTCGCCATTTTGATAATCACTTCCATCTTTTAAAGTTCTTTACCGTATACTGGATACCTATAAGAGGTCTTAAAATTATTCGAATAACCCGAGACCCGATTATTCGAATATCTTTTTTGTAACCGTTTGTGCGAATATTAACCGAATAGTTGTTCTGCTGCGAGTTTTATAAATGATCCAAGCACCTTTTGTTTTTTGTTCTTTTTGAATGAACTCTTACTCTTTGAATAGTCGACAATGAACGGTTAACCGAACAGTTGAAAATGAACTTTAAATCGAACAGTCGACAACTTATCTTATGACTATCCGGATAGTGTTAAGTGAATATTATTATTTAAATAATACCCTATTCGGTTAGTCGATTAATCGAATACCAAAAGCTCTAATACATACATACTATATATTTTTTTCCGATTTATGTGTAATTTAAAACTGAACTGCCTTTTGGTACCGGTACCTATTAACTATTTTAAGTGAAGTTTTCAATCACAATAAATTTTAGTTCTAAAATTGCCTTTGTTCCACAAATTTTTAAACGAGCAATATCTTAACTCACTTCATCTTCACTATTTCCCTTGGGGTCATTTCTTACACATAAACTATGGTATTATTTGTATTTATGACACTTCGCGCAGCCAACCCACAATTAAATTGTCATTAAGATGACATGAAAATGCGTTGACACATGTTGAGTTATTTGATATGTCAGTTGAAATTTACATGGGCATTCAAACGTTATTTGTACGACTATATACATATGCAAACATAAATATATATAAAATAGCTGTAAATATAGTATTTGATTGTGTGTACTGTGTCATGGTTACTCTCCGGAGGTGCCTATCTGTGTGCTTGCGGTTAGGCGTTCAAAGAGTTGCCTCGCCGAATGCGGTGACAAAATGAGTGCAGCTGCTTCAGCAGCCATTAGCATGAACCAGAGCGGTATACAATAACAAATATATTATATTTATACTCTCGCAACCTGTTGCTACAGAATATAATAGTTTTGTTCACCTAACGGTTGTTTGTATCACCTAAAATTAATTGAGTTAGATATAGGGTTATGTATATATAAATGATCAGGATAATGAGACGAATTGAAATCTGGGTGACTGTCTGTTAGTCCGTCCGTCCGTCCGTGCAAGCTGTAACTTCAGTAAAATTTGAGATATCTTTATGAAACTTGGTACACATGTTTCTTAGTACCGTAAGACCGTTGGTATTTCAGATGGGCGTAATCGGATCACTGCCACGCCCACAAAATGCCATTAATCAAAAACAAATAAATTGCCACAATCAGATACACAAGTACTACTTTCGTATACAGGACCACATTAGGTTGGGGCATCTGCACATAAAATTTTGTTTTAAATTGGGCGTGGTCCCGCCCCCTAATAGGTTTAATGTGCATATCTCCTAAGCCGCAACCCCGCCCATTCCCCATATAACGGTACTGTTAGAAACTACTAAAAACGCAATAAATCAAGCAATTAACACGCCAGAGACATTAAATTTTATCTCTCGGATGGTATAAGGTGACTTTATAGGAACCGACTTCAAAAACCTATATCTTGGAATCTGCTTAATTGATTTCATTATAGTGTGAAAATGGTCGAAATCGGATTACAACCACGCCTATTTCCCATATAACACCATTTTACATTCCATCTGCTTCTTTCACTTTCCACTATGCAAATCAAGCAACAATGATTGTAGCGGAGTAAACCTTTGCGTGAATGATGCGTTTAAAGTATGCCACCTTGTGATCAAAAATTGTCTAAATCGAACCAAAACTGTTCAAGCCCCTAGGTACTGAATAAGTTAACCACAGTGCCTATAGCTGACTTGTTACCGAAAATATCGGTCAATGTGTGAGATATATAATTGAAATTCGGAGAGGATTGTTTCCTGATAATAGTATGTCAGTATGTCAAAAATGAATTGAATATTCCCTAAGCCCCATATACCTAATATAAAGAAATTTTCGAACTTCCAGATGACTTTATCCGCATATTTTAGCAAATAAGTAAGGTACCTTAACAAAATTTACTGGAAGTATAATATTGGATATACTATACTTTAATGCCGAAAATATTGTATGTGAAATTGGTTCACAAATTACCCAAATTATCATAAACTACATATATTGATTTTCTTTGTTCTAACAAACCGTATGCATCTGAAGGTATTTCCCTGGCTTTGATCCTTGCAAATTGCGAGAGTATAAAATGTTCGGTTACATCCGAACTTAGAACTTCCTTACTTGGTTTTACTTGTTTCGCTGTGTTAAATTTTTTTACAATTCATTATTATTCGTGTTCTTTTCTCAGAATGTTGCCTTCTAGCCTAAAAGAAGTGCAACATTTTCTGCCCTTCTCAAAACGTAAGAGTTTTTCGTTGCTGATATGTATTTTTTTAAAGAAAGTTTCTCTTCTAATTAGTGTAAGTTCACACACGGACTCTTTTGTAACCCAAACCAGTTTATTGTGGGCGAGGGGGACGACGAGGAAAGATGAAGGGACCGTACCACTTGTGCTCGTGTGGCACGCTTTGTGCTCTTGTTCGTAACAGTTCGCTGCTACGCAATTCGTTTTGAAACACATTCATGGTAATTCCTTGCAAGCAAAATGTGAGCCCACCATCCCAACATACAAATAAAAAACTCGTCTCCAGTTTTGGGCTCTTTTTACTCGTGTAAACGCACAAGGCGACACCAAAAGAGAATTTGCCAAAAATGAGCGACAAGAGAGTATTGAAAATGAGTCGGTTGGTATTTGTTTATCCTTTTGTGATGAAAAAAATTGAACAATTATATAATGCCATATAATGAGGCATCGAAAAAAGAAAACGCTATTAATTTGAATGTTTCACCCATCTTTTAATCACACCCTAAGAACAATGCTTTTCCACACTTTCGGAGTTCCCTGAAGCCCTATCGATAAAATACTTGAATTTCTAAGTAAACTATTTTACACAAACTCTAACTTCTGTGCGGAATGTATTCCCTGGTTTCAGGAGTTAGATAGGATAATGCCAAATGAGAAAACTGTATATAATTCGATATACAAAAACTGTGCTGTCATTTGTAACTTAGAATTAAATCCACCGATTTTTAGCAAGAAGTTTGTGTTTCATTAATAAATCTCATAGAGATAACTAAATTAAATCACTTAAAATAACAATATTTTCAAAATAATCATTACTTATATTTACGTCAATATATAAAGAATTAAGTGTGCAAAACTTTTAATATTTTCCTAGAAAAATCCATCTAAAGAAGCGAAAATGCTGAGGTGGCAATGTTGGACATTGTGATAAAAACTAGATAAAACGCTAACTTCGCAAGTGCGTTCCTTATAGCAACAGCCAACGGTTAGCATGCAACGGAAAGCGTTTTGCTAGTTATTTCTAGCCAGATTATTTAATATAAATAACCTTTAAGTCGAATTAAAGTTACTTAAAGAACTTTTATGAAAATCTTTTTGTAAAAATATCTTGTCAATTAAATTTTTTTCTACACAAGGATTTGCTTTTGAACGGTCAGTTTGTATGGTAGCTATTTCTGCCTCTCTGGTCTGGTTCCGACAAATAAACAGCTTCTTGAGGAGAAAAGCACGGTTGTAAAATTTCAGACCGATATCTCAAAAAGTCGACTAGTACGCGTATATACAGGCACACAGACAAACGAACATTTCTAAATCAAGTCAGCTTGTCACACTGATCATTTATATATTTGTATATCTATAAAAATCTTAGAAACCACAGCACACTTCACATTATTTCAATTTTATTGCATCTAAAATAATCTCACCAAATTTAATTGATAAAGCTTTTATAAATATGAAAATCAATATATGTGCTAATTTCGCGTTCATTGGAACATTGCCATAAATTCTATGAATTATACTTGATGTGAAAAATCTGCAGATATTTTTTATAAAAGTGGAAACTATAGTCGTTAATTCCCAAAATTTGTGTTTTAAATTAGAACTGCAAAAATCTAACCACACTAACTTCACATATTTCTAATCTTTTCTCCTTTGCAACATAATAAAATGAGATAAAGAAATTATAGCCACCATACCATTTGACAGATACCAGCAATAATGCTAAAAAATATTGCTTAATTTTAATTGAGTAATTTTAGGACTGCATTACACAA